GGCGTTGTTCTCACTTGACATTTCCTCTTTGCGCTGGGGACTGAAATTTTGTGTCGAAATGTTTGAAACCCTGTCCCTGGGCGTGCGAGGAGGTGGGGCCCTGGGAGGTAATTAGGTCCCCAGGGCGGAGCCTTCCGGAAGGGAAAGCAGTCAGTGTCCCCAGCGAGGACTCGGCGAGAAGAGGGTCACCTGTGGGTGCCTCGGTCGTGGACTTCTCAGCCTGCGGCAAACGGCGAGGAAACATTTCCGTGGTCGGTAGGCCCCGACCTCCCCCGACCCCGACCCCCCCCCCCCAACCCCGACCCCACCCCCCATCCGTGGCGGTTTTGTCTCAGCAGCCTGAACGGACTCGCGCTCGGAGACGTGTGGTCTCCGGCCGGGACTGCTGCCGCCACAGGGCCTTCGCACGGGCCGTTCCCGGCCCTGGACGCCTTTTCCCACACCCGTCCCTGCTTACTCAGGGGCTCTCTCCTCCCTTCCGCCTGCCTCGGTCACCCCATTCAAAAGTTGCCCTTGGGCGCGGTGGCTCGCGCCTGTCATCCCAGCACTCTGGGAGGCCGAGGCTGGCGGATCGCTCAAGGTCAGGAGTTCGAGACCAGCCTGAGCAAGAGCGAGACCCGTCTCTACTAAAAATAGAAAGAAATTAATTGGCCAACTAAAAATTATATGAGAAAGAATGACCGGCATGGTGGCGCATGCCTACCACCCAGCTCAGGCTGATGGCAGGAACTGCTTGAGCCCAGGAGTCTGAGGTTGCTGTGAGCGAGGCTGACGCCACGGCACTCACTCTAGCCTGGGCAACAGAGCGAGACTCTGTCACAAATAAAATAAAATAAAAGTTACCATACCAGCCTGAGCAAGAGCAAGACATGGTATCTACTAAAAATAAAACAAATTAGCCGGGCGTGGTGGCGTGTGCACCTGTCCCGTCCCAGCTACTGGGGAGGCTGAGGCAGGAGGATGGGGTTCGAGGCTGCAGTGAGCTAGGATGGCGCCGCGGCACTGTAGCCCGGGGCCACAAAGCAGGACCCTGTCTCAGGGGGGAAAAAGAAAGTTGCTACCTTCTTTCCCTCCCTCCCTGTTTCCTTCCTCTATTTTCCACCGCCCGGGCCCCGCCTGCGCCTGGGGTGCTTTCTGGACCCACCGAGGCCAGGGCTCCGTCCCCCACCCCCACCCCACCCCCGCGGCCGCAGTGAGGTGGGGACACGGAGATTTTGTCTGTCCATTCACAGCGGCACCTGCCGCTCCCGGACCAGCGCCTGCACACCGCCAGAGCTTGCGGATCCGTGCGGCGCGGGCGACTGTTCTGCGGGTTCACGGAGCTCTGGGATGGCATTCCCGTGACTCTGGGGCACCCGAGGGTGGACGCGCGCTGTTGCTGTGTCCCATCCTTCGGTTGTTTCCAATTTTTTAAAAAATCAGTTTTTTGTGTTTTTTTTGAGATAGAGTCTCACCTTGTTCCGGGGCTAATGGAGTGCCGTGGCGTCAGCCCTCGTTCTCACAGCAACCGTCAGACTCCCTGGGCTCAAGCGATCCTCTGCCTCAGCCCCCGGGCATAGCTGGGGACTAAGGCGTGTCGCCAGCACCGCCCGGCCTCATTTTTTCTAGTTTTAGTAAGAGACGGGGTCTCGTCTTGCCAGGTGGTCTGAACTCCTCCTCAAGGAGCGATCTCCCGCCTCGGCCTCCCAGAGGCTGGGACGGACAAGGCGTGAGCCGCCGCGCCCGGCCAGACCACGTTTACCTTGAGCGGGTCCTCAGTCTGCCATGCCGTCCCAAGCTGCCAACATGCAAATATTCAGGGAGGCATTCCCTGCAGCGCGTGCTGTGTCAGCAGACACGGTGCGTCTGTCATTCCGCGCTGCGCCCGCAGCGCGCCACCCATGCCGCCACCCATGCCGCAGGCAGTGCGCGGAGCGGAGAGTGGCCCGTGTCCCCAGCCCAGCCAGCGCCGGGTGGTCATCATGGTTTTGGATTTTACCCATCTGATAGGGTGGCAGATAGTTCAGGAGTTGTTGTGGTGATTTGCAATTTTCATGTTAGAGTGAGGCTTTTTTTTTGAGACAGAGTCTCACCTCTGTTGTCTGAGCTTAGAGTGCCGTGGCGTCAGCCTCGCTCACAGCAACCTCAACTCCTGGGCGCTCAACGGATCCTCCTGCCTCAGCTCCGAGTACTGGGGAACTCCAGCGTGCGACACGCACGCTCCAAGACCCAGGCTCCGTGTCCCCTCCCCCAGGGAGCCCTCCTCTCAGCCCCTCCAGCACGGAGGCGCCACGTGCCTGAGTCTCCAGGGCAAGCTAGGAGCTTGGAGAGACAGAGACAGCTTTCGGGCATCCTTAGCAAACTCCTACTCCTATGTTAAAGCCCTAAGTCTGACATCCCCTCCTCCAGGAAGACCCTGTCCCTGTCTCTGGGCCTTCCCTGACTTGCATGGGCCTGGGGTGAGTCTGTGTCCAGCTCTGTCCTCTCCCAAGGCTGGGTGGGTGGGCCTTGGGGACCTGGCCAGGGCCGAGGACTCTGGGGGAGGGGAGGGGCGCCTAGCATGGGTGATGTTTGTTGAATGAATAAATGGATGCGTGGGTCGGGGGTCCACTGAGCGGAGGGCAAGAAGCGAGGTGGAGGCGCGGAGGTGGAGGCGCGGCCAGTTGGGCTGCCGTGGGGGGGCGGGACCGGGCCGCCCCTCCCCCCAGCGTGAGAACCTCAGGCCGCGGCGGGCGCGTCGCTGTCTTCATCTTCCCCTCTCGCTCCTCCCAGCCCGCAGTTCCTCTTCCCGGGCCCGAGCGAGCGAGCGGGGTGCGCCCGAGGCCACGCAGGTCCGCAGGGTCGCCCGCGTCCAGGTGAGCCGCGCGCGCAGCCCCGGCCCAGGTGTGGCGGCGGGACCCGCCAGGTAAGACCGAGGCCCCGGACTTGGGGGGCCGCAGACCGGAGCTGGGGGACCCCGTCGGCGGCCCCCACCCCACCCCACCCCACCCCACCCCAGGACTGCCCGGGGACCCCGAAGTTCCCAGAGGAACGATTAAGGTGGCGCCCCCTCCACACCCCCCGCCGCTTCCAAGGCAACCGCTCATTTGCATACGGCCCCGTCCTGGCCAATGGGGGCGCCCCAAATGTGGGGGACCTGAGTGAGTCCCCAAAGGGGCTCGTCTGGGAACCGGGAAAGGCTGGGCTCGGCTGCCCCCCTGCCCGCCTTCCCCTAGGCAGGCGCCGGGGAGGGACGTACCCATTCCCCGGAGGCGGCCACTGAGGCCGCGGGCGCCCAGCCAGGGCCCGCCAGGCGCGGCCTCCGCGTCGCCGTCCCGGGGCGGCCGCGGGGCTATAAATAACGACAATAATAATAACCAGCCCGGGCCGCGAGGGCGAGCGCGACCGCAGGGCTGAGGCCAGGGCCCGGGTTGGGGTGTCTCCGCGCAGGCTCCCCGGATGGAGGGCGCCGTGCTGTGGGCGTCGTCGCTGTGGCTGTGGCTGTCGCTGTCGCTGCTGCGGGGCCCGGGCGGCCAGGGCCTGTCCTGCAACGTGACCGCGGTGGACTGGGCGGCGGAGTTCGAGGCCGAGTGCCTGAACCTGAGCGGCCTGGGCGTGCGCCCCCCGCGCAACGGCTCCCTGCGCGCGCGCCGCCTGGCGCTGCTCGACCTGTCGCGCAACGGGCTGCGGGAGCTGCCGCCGCCCGGCTTCTTCGCGCAGCTGCCGGGCCTGCGCGTGCTGCGCGCCGCGGGCAACCCGCTGGGCCGCGTGGACACGGCGCTGGCGGCGCGCTGCGTGCGCCTGGAGGCCGACTGCAGCTGCGCGCTGGCGCCCTGGCTGGCCTGGCTGGCCGGCCAACTGCTCGACCGCCCGCCCGCGCGCTGCCTGGGCGCGCCCGCCCCGCTGGGCGGACCTCCCGCGCTTCCTGCGCGGCCGCTGCGCGCCGCCGGCCGCCGGCCGCCGGCGCGGGCGCGCCCGGCCGGCAGCCGCTCCTGCTGCTCGCGTCGCCGGCCGCCGCGCCGCGCTGCTGGCGCGCCAGGGCCCGCGCCGGGCGCCCGGGCGACGGGCAAGGCGGGCGGGCCGCTCGCGACGCGCCGGCCCCGGCGCCGCCTCGCAGCCGCGCTACAGCAGCCGCGACCGCGGGCCCCGGCCCCGCGCGCCCGCCCCGCGCCGCCCCTCCACGCCCGACTACGAGAACATGTTCGTGGGTGACCCCGCCGCCCCGCGCCAGCAGGACCGCCTCGGGTGAGTGGCCCGCCGCCAGCCTCCCGGCCCAGCCCCGGTCCACGGCCCAGCTCTGCCGCCCGCAGGCTGGGGACTCCCCCGGCCGGGGGCTGCGCCTCTCTGGGCCTCAGTCTCTTCATCTGTGAAGTGGGGACACAGTGGCAGCCCCTCTTAGGCCAGTGGCCTCGCCTCTCGGAGCCTCAGTCCCTTCATCTGTGAAGTGGGGACACAGTGGCAGCCCCTCTTAGGCCAGTGGCTCCGCCTCTCAGAGCCTCAGTCCCTTCATCTGTGAAATGGGGACACGGTGGCAGCCCCTAGACTCTCAGGCCAGTGGCCTCACCTCTCAGAGCCTCAGTCCCTTCATCTGTGAAGTGGGGACACGGTGGCAGCCCCTAGACTCTCAGGCCAGTGGCCTCACCTCTCAGAGCCTCAGTCCCTTCATCTGTGAAGTGGGGACACAGTGGCAGCCCCTAGACTCTCAGGCCAGTGGCCTCACCTCTCGGAGCCTCAGTCCCTTCATCTGTGAAGTGGGGACACGGTGGCAGCCCCTAGACTCTCAGGCCAGTGGCTTTGCCTCAGTCTCTTCATCTGTGAAATGGGGACACGGTGGCAGCCCCTAGACTCTCAGGCCAGTGGCTTCGCCTCTCTGGGCCTCAGTCTCTTCATCTGTGAAGTGGGGACACGGTGGCAGCCCCTAGACTCTCAGGCCAGTGGCTTTGCCTCAGTCTCTTCATCTGTGAAGTGGGGACACGGTGGCAGCCCCTAGACTCTCAGGCCAGTGGCTTCGCCTCTCTGGGCCTCAGTCTCTTCATCTGTGAAATGGGGACACGGTGGCAGCCCCTAGACTCTCAGGCCAGTGGCTTCGCCTCTCTGTGCCTCAGTCTCTTCATCTGTGAAGTGGGGACACGGTGGCAGCCCCTGCCCCAGGGTGCGGGGTGGGAACTGAGCGAGTCCCTGTGCAGGAAGCAGCTTCCGCTTCGTGACCTGGAAACCCGATTTCTGGCCCCCCGAGGACAGGGAGGCGAGTGCTCGAGGCAGACTGGGGGCTCCGCGGTCGCCAGAGGCGGCCGTGGGCTCAGATCTCGTGTGACCCGGGGCTGTCTCTGAACCTCCATTTCCGTCCCCGTAAAATGGGGACAGCACCCCTGTCCCCCGACACCCTCGAGTTGCTAAAGGGGTCATCTGCGTCCCTGCCCCCTACAAGGCCTCTCCGTAATTTCTTTCTTTTTTTTTGAGACAGAGTCTCGCTCTGTGGCCCAGGCTAGAGCGAGTGCCGTGGCGTCAGCCTCGCTCACAGCAACCTCAGACTCCTGGGCTCAAGCGATCCTCCTGCCTCAGCCTCCCGATTAGCTGGGCGACTTACAGGCGATGCGCCACCACGCCCCGGGGCTTGGATTTTTCGTTAGGCTATATATTAGGTTGTTTGGCCAATTACATTTCTTCTTTATTTATAGTTAGAGACGGGGTCCGCCTTTGCTCAGCTGGGTTTCGGAACTCTGCTGACCCTTGGGCAGCAATACCGCCCGCCGTCGGCTCCCGAGGGAGTGCCGGGATTACAGGCGTGAGCCCCCCCCCCGCTCCCCCCCCGCGCTGGCTGCGTAATTTTGCCGGGCCTCTCAGACAGACGGGTTCCACATTTCCAGGTAGGGAGGAGGGGAGTGCTTAAGATGTTGCAGGGGGCAGCGAGCGGGAGAGGATGAGCGAAAAAGAACAAAACCGTGCCCTGGGGTGGTTCTCAGGAAGGCGAAGCCGGGGGCCGAGTAGGGGTGGGGCTGGCGGGGCGACTGGAGGGTCCAGGCCAGGAAGGGGCCCGCCCATGGCCCTGGGCTGCTGCTCCAGATGTCAAGCTGTTAACCTGTCGTGGCCCAGCCACTCTGGGGAGGCCTGAAGGCGGGAGGATCACTCCGAAGCTCAGGAGTTCGATGACGCAGCCCTGAGCAAGAGCCGGAGACGTCCTCGTCTCTACGTAAAAGAGAACGAGTGAAACAAATCAATTCGCCAGAACTAAAAAATTAGTATAGAAAAAAAATCCAGCCAGGCCGACGTGGTTGACGTGCGCGAGTGCCTGTAGGTCCAGGGCGTACTCGGGAGGGCTGAGGCGAGGAGGACTGTCTTTGAGCCCAGGGAGTCTAGAGGTTGCTGTGAGCCAGGCTGACGCCACGGCACTCACTCTAGCCTGGGCAACAGAGCGAGACTCTGTCTCAAAAAAAACAAAACAAAACAAAACAGTAGCTGGAAAGCAGAAGTGGGCTGGGGCGGGGAGGTGAGGCGCTTGGTTCCCCGAGGCAGTTTGCGCTCTGACCACATCTGCCTCCCCGCCAAGCAGCCTCCCGCGTGAACCGCCGCACCGGCCTCTCCCGTGCAGAGCTGAGCCGAACGGGTCGTTTCCAACCCTGCAGTGTAGCCCGCTGGGTCACACTACAGCCCGCGGGCCACACGCGGGCCCTCCGAGCACATGTATCCGGCCCTCCGGGTGTTTTTGCCGCCGCTGCCTGTCCTGCTTAGCAGCCGGCTGGTCCAGGGCCCGCAGTGCTCACTCTCCCAACGGTCTGAGGGCCAGTGAACTGGCCCCCTCTTGAAAAAGTTTGAGGACCCCTGGTTTAGAGTCTACGACTGCAAAAATGGAGGCCCCAGGAGGCAAGGGAATGACTTGCTTAAGGCCACCCGGCCAGTCAGAAAGAGAGGCAGAAAACACACCCTGACTCCCAGTCCTGTCCGTTTGCTTACAACCACTTATGTGTTCAGAGTTGTTCATACTATAGTGTGAGTGACTGACAGATGGCGCTTTCCCGAAGTGGCTTTTTTTTTTTTTTTTTCCACGAGGGGAGCTGGGGGTGGAGTTAGGATATTCTGGAGGCAGGAAGGTTCTTCTCTGGGAGATCTTGCCTGCCCTAACTCACGTTCCTAAGTAGGCTACTCACTCTTCGGCCAATTCTATGGATGCAGGAACTGAGGCTCAGAGATTATTTTCATATGCCAGGGCCACAGAGTGGAGTGGCTCCAGGGGACCTGGCGAAAATATTTCCCATCTAAAGGGACAAACGCTGTTTGGCTCCAGCCGCTTGTGTCCACGTGACTGAGGCGGCCGGAGCTTCCGGTTTCTCAGGAGGAAACCGAAATCTAGATTTTCCTGTGAAAACGGGCAGCTGTCTTAGCCTTGAGGAAGGGCAAAACCCTGCCACGGGTCCAGAGTCCCCAGACCTCAGCGCTCAAATGCACACATTCTTCCCCAAATCGCTGTCCTCCCCGACTTCCTCAGAGGGCGGGAGGGCCCCGAGGGATAGCCGGAGCGCTGCCTGGTGCCTCGGTTTCCCGACGTGTCAACGTTACGGGCGGACTCAGCCACGCCGGGCTTCCCCAGAGCTGGGGAGCCTGTGCCCTGAGCCCGCCCGCCCCCCGCCCGCCTGTGTGTGCCCACAGGGCCCAGCAGCCCCCGGAGGACGGCGACCTCTACATGAACTACAGGAGCCCGGACGCCGACTGCTCTCCCGTCTACTGCAACCTGCAGGCGCTGGGCCGGGCCGCGCCGGGCGAAGAGGAGTACGTGGTTCCCGGGCGCTGAGCCCGCGGCGCCCCGCCCCTCCCCGGCCCCTGCCTTGGGGCACACCAGCTCTCCCCCGGCCTCAGTCTCCTCCTCTGAGGAATGGGGACAGGAGAGGACAGACCCCGAGGCCCCACTCGGCTCCTCAGCTCCGTCGGCTGCCGGAGGAGGAAGACGAGAGACCCCCGGACGGACTAGGGCACGGGAGGGTCATCTTCCTGTCGGTGTGCAGCCGGTGCTCAATAAATGCTTTGGGGCTGATGAGGCTGCTGGCGCGGGCTCCGTGGGCTCCTCCCGGGCTCCCACCCGAGACTTGCCAGAATCGCCCCCCACCTGCCGTCCCTCCCTTCCACCCTCTCGGGGCCCCTTCCGGCGGGGGGAGCCCAGTCTCCAGGCTTGACCCCCAGAGCAGCCCACACCGGCCCAGGGCATCTTTATAGCCCAGGAGTCGGGCCGGGCCCTGCCCCTGCTCACACACCCTCCATGGCTCCCTGCTGCCCCCCACCCCAGAGCCTCGGCTTGGTGCTGGAGGCCTGTGCGGCCCAACCCTGCCCATCCCATCCGCTTTCCCGTCCTCTACCCTTCCGATCTGGGCTCCGTCCCCACCAGGCCCCCTCCCTGCCGGATGCTCCGTTATCCTGCCCGTGCCCTTCCTTCCACCCATTCCCTTCCACGCTTTCCCACTCTACAGCTACCTGACGCGGATGCTCGGCTCCGGCCCGGGTGTCGGGAGGCGTGGCGCCCGGCCCGGCCAGCCCATTTCCGCAGGACCAGGCGATCAGGATTGGTCTCTGAGGCTGCTCTTGCGCTAATGCTCCCAGGAAACTCAACGGGTCCTTCAGGGCCCAGGTGTAACGCCGCCTCCTCTGGGAAGCCTTCCCTGGTCCTTCCCCAGGCAGAAGTATTCGTCACCGCCAGGCCTTCCCTGCATTCAGAGTTTTTTTCTTTGAGCGGACAGGAGTCTCAACGTCCTGTTGCCACAGGGCCTAGAGTCTGCCGTCAGGCGTCAGCCTCGCTCACAGCACCTTCCGACTCTGGGCTCAAGCGATCCTCCTGCCTCAGCCTGCCCGAGTACGGCTGTCGGACTACAGGCCATGCGCCACCACGCCCCGGCTCATTTTTTCCTATATGTATACTTAAGTTGGCATTATTTCTCTTCTATTTTTAGTAGAGAACGTGAGGTCTCGCCTCAGTGCTGGTTTCGAACCTCCTGACTTCTGAGCAATCCACCCGCTGCTCCCAGGTGCTGGGATACAGGCGTAGCACCGGCGCTCCGCAGTCTGCGAGCTTTCGGAGAAGCCCCTGGCGGTGGCAGTTCATTTGAGGCTTCCTCGCGCCGTTCTTCAGAGACCCGAGTGTACGTCCCCACTGCAAGGCCTGTTGCACGTGGGGTTTGCGTGCAACGTGGGTCCACTGGTCCTGCTGCTCCTCCAGTCCCAGCCTCAGGCGCCGTCCTGGGGGCCCCGTCGCCTGCCTGGGCGCCTCCGCCCTCTGTCACCGCACACTGCCCGGGCAACCTCGGCGCCCTCGTGCCGCCGCGCCGCTGTCTGCGGGACGCAGTCCGCCTTCCCTGCCACGGCCCTGGGCGCGCGAGCCAGCCGCGCTGGCGCAGTCCCGCCGCCACCGCGTCTCGGCTGCCCGCCGACGCCCGCCGCTGCCGGGTCGGCCTCTGCGGTGAGACCCCGGCAGACCCGCCTCGCTGCATGGGACAGGCTGGCTCAGCGCCGTGCCGCCCGTCTGCGACTCAGCGTGCACAGGCAGGTGGGTGTGAGCACGTGTGTGCATGTGTGTGCACATGTGTGTACATGTATGTGCACGTGTGGGCACATGTGTGTGCAGGCGTGCGCGCGTGTGCGTGCAGGTGTGATGTGTGTGCACATGTGTGTGCGTGTGTGCAGGTGTGATGTGTGTGCGTGTGTGCAGGTGTGATGTGTGTGCGTGTGTGCAGGCGTGTGCGCATGTGTGTGCAGGTGTGATGTGTGTGCACGTGTGTGCACGTGTGTACAGGTATGTGTGTGCGCGTGTGTGCACATGTGTGTGTGCACGTGTGTGCGTGTGTGTGCAGGCGTGTGCAGGTGCGCGTGTGTGTGCAGGTGTGATGTGTGTGCACGTGTGTGCGTGTACTCAGCATGTCTCAGCAATCCCAGGACCCTAAACAGGAAGAGCCTATAGCCGGGGGCGAGCTGTGCGTGGAAACGTTCTTCCCAGCTGATTTGTTTCTCCCTGCTCTTTTAGTATGAAAGCGTGCAGGCATCATCATTTTAAAAGCAAAGGACAGGACCGGGCCCGGCGGCTCACGCCCGTCATCCTAGCACTCTGGGAGGCCGAGGCGGGCGGATTGCTCGAGGTCAGGAGTTCGAAACCAGCCTGGAGCAAGAGCGAGACCCCGTCATCTACTATAGAATAAAGAAGTTAATGGCCAACTAAAAACCATATAGTGGAGAAAGATGAGCCGGCCATGTTGGGCATGCCTGTAGTGCCCACTACTCGGCGAGGCTGAGGCAGGAGGATCGCTCCGAGGCCAGGGTCTGAGGTTGCTGTGAGCGAGGCCTGACGCGCGCGAGCGGGCGAGAGCGTCACGTCTAGGCGCTAGCCGACAGAGAGAGACTCGCTGGTCTCAAAAAAAAAAAAAAAATACAAAGGACGAAAATGAAAAGGAAGAAAAAACACCAAAAACAAACAAGCACACGGCAGACCCGAGAAAAATCCAGAGCTGGCGGCGGCTGCGGCGCTGGCCGAGGCGTCTCCAGTGCCTTCGGATCGCACTGGTGGGTCGCCCAAGAACACCTCACC